CTGATGTCGTCGCTGGTGTTGTCGCGGGTGCACGTGTCGGCACTACTCGCGACTGTTGTTGCTGCGACTGTTGCTCTTGGTCCCACCTCTCGCCTGCAGCATCCATGGAGCCTTTGAGCTCACCGAAGACGACCTCGTTTGGCATGAAGCTACTACCTGTTTCCTCCATGACGGACGACCCCTGGCAGTGCAATTGAGGTGCATACGATTATCATTTTTCCCTTGGCAGATTCTCCGCCAGGGAAAAGCGCCAGATGGCAGTGCAATTGAGTCAGCAAGCTGACCGCGGGCAAAGAAAAAAAACTAAAACCCACTTGGAAGGCATGCCATTCGGGAGCATCAACAATAAAATATTAGGGTTGAGGCTCTCGAATGGCATGCCGTAAGCGATGGGTTTTAGTTTTTCTTTCTGACTGCGGTCAGCTTGCTGACTCACTCGGTAGCGTCGTCTAGCGCTCTGGTAGCGCTACCAAGTGCTACCGACGCTACCTCGTGCAATATGTTGGAGAATTCCTTACACGACTCATAACATATTAAACCCCAAAAAGGTTACCATTCTCATTTTGTCCCTTTTGGATTACTGTGCGAGGTTCTGTGGGACTTGGGCACCAACTCTGCGCATCCATGTGGACATCCCTCGATATTTTTCGAAACCAGCCAGCCCTCCGGTCCACAAGATGTTGAAATATCCACGTGTCATCTCTGTGTCCACATTTACGCCTTTCTGTCATCACACAATCATCCATTCGTGATTGCTCGGAGAATGAAGTGCAACTCTAACCACAACTTACCCACGATGCGAGCTCGCACTACTGTATCACGATTTCCACCGAAAGATTTGTCCTTAGAAACTGTCTATTCATGCGTGCCGCGTCATAGAACCCAGAGGGGTTGCTTGTTTCAAGCATTGTGCCGCCGCAAATGGTCTCATTCGGTTTTGTTGGTTGGGACAGAACGCGCTTACTGGCCCTAATTGCTTGCGGGACTTTCCAACCAGCGCGGTGCGTTTTTATTGAAGGATATGCCTACGTTGACTATTTTGGTACAGCTGGGCCTTTCGGAAGTAGACCCTGTGATTTGCCAACGTTGAGAAAACTGGTTTGATGAACCAAAATCGAGAAGGCTTAGGGAGATGCTTGATAAGAAAATTCCGTTTGCTCAAAGCATCAGACGCTTCAATTTGAGGGCAGTAATGACTGTTGATGCATTTACGTCCGAGTGCATTTAATCTCACTAGAATATAGGGCAACGGGTTGCAGTTGGAGAGGAGGTACAGTAAATTCCTGCTAATCCGACAAATTTTGCCCGACAGAAAAGCAATCAGGGTGTGCACAAGAGCGACATACTGTACACGAGAACAGTGTACAGCTGTGCGGTTGCCCTTGACAGTGTCTAATTGAGGCGGTTCTGAGAGAAAAACTCTTCTATGAAAGGTAGCCTATCAGAACAACCTTGTACCATGTGTAGATGTTTTGAATGCAGAATTCCTTTTTGTTCAGATGTACCAGGCTAGTCATCTGGAATGGTCATCATCTGGTGTACTTGAGATCCTTTTTTTGGGTTGCGAAGCAACCCTTTACGATCGATTTTGCCAAATTTTATTTTCATGTTTATATTTTTTAAAAAAATCATGAAAATAAATTTTGTCAACTACAACACTACCCTTCCCAAACTGTATGCATGTTGAGCAGTTTTGAATACGGTACTGTTCATAGTGCATTATTCCATATGAACATTTTGCAATTGTTTAGTGGAGATGTGCTGTACTGTTTGCATTATATGTTACTGTTAGATGATGTTGTGTAATGATGAAGAGGTGCATGCGTAATGCATAAATGATGCTATACAATGCATAATGCATAGAATGATGTATATAATGCATGTGATATGTGATGAATGATGCACATGCACATGATAAAATGCGTGACAGTTAACAACCCAAAAACTAAGCTATCGCCATCCCCTGCCTAGCATGGGGGGGAGGTCAATAGCAAAATCTTTGAATAATCAACTAGCACATGAAAAAATACAATCTGTTAACTCTAAAAAAGAGGTTCACTCTATCAAATCCAGTTCGAAGTGGCAAACACACGAGTCACTGAGTGCGCCAATGAACCAATTAGAAATGATAGAAATGAACCCCCTTTTTAAAATTGACAGACATGCATTGATATTGCAATGACAGATGAGATGAATGCACTCACACGAACAAACACATTCACACAATAAAAAACACGAGCTCCGGCAAACCCAGCCAAAAAACACGAGATACACGCGAACTACATAACAAGTAAATCAATGTTAAAAGGACAATACGATAAATCCTAGTGACCAATACACATTTTCTGGATTGAAATCGCGTTCCTGACCGGAAAGGCCCCTGACAAACGGGTTTAGGAAGTGGAAAGGAGGAACGGAAATGAATAGCCAGTACAACAAAAAAAACAGAAAAAAGGCATAAGGTGTGATGAAATGAAGAGAAACAGGAATAACGAAGAAACAAATGAATCAATACAAGGGCTAAGAAAAACGCCGTGAGCATTGAATGGTTAGACTTGACAAAGAGCATGGAGAAGAATCTAACGAGGCATAAAACGAAAATAAGGAACGGGAATAGAGGAACAAAATACCGAGACAGTAAACGAAAGAAGAGAATATAACGAATACAGAGAGCGAGAACAACGAAGAGCGAGAGCGAGAGCAGGAGCGAGAGAGGACTAGAGAGAGGGGACGAGAGAGAGGGGACGAGAGAGAGGACGAGAGAGAGAGAGAGAGAGAGAGAGAGAGAGAGAGAGAGAGAGAGAGAGAGAGAGAGAGAGAGAGAGAGAGAGAGAGAGAGAGAGAGAGAGAGAGAATGAGAGAGAGGGAGAGAACGAGAGAGAAAACGAGAACGAGAGAGAGAGAACGAGAGAACGAGGACGAGAGAGAGAGAACGAGAGAGAGAACGAGCGAGAACGAACGAGAGATAGAGAGAGTGTTCAATAAATTACGATTTCTACGATTTCGAAAAAAAACATGTGTAAAAACAAGATCTAAGCCGACCTAGTTTAGATCTAAGCCGTCCTGTGTTAGAATTAAGTCGACCTAACAAGTATCGAACGCGTTTAAGTTGCAAGTTAGGAGCTTACCTAGCGGAAGTCCCGTAGCCCGTCAGCAGAACGAGAGGAAGAAGGAAAGGGAGGGCTAACTAAGAATAGGAAGTAAATGACGACAATAAGAGCTTACATCTTACCATGAGCTAACAACTCTAAATGACATCTTAAACTTTCTGACCTTGGAGTGGTAGGTGGAGCGTAAGTAGCGTGAGGCAAAAGAACAAGCTCCACTGGCGAGAAGAAAAGAGAAAGAGAAAACGAATACCTAGAACCTAGAACATAGGCTTAATCAAACTATTTTTTTAAAACGCGGCCAACACAAGAGTAAACAACTATGGTACGAGATTAACGCATGCTAGTCTCGCTAGAAATCAGGTAACTTAATTCTACTTGAAACGGTAAGGTAGAGTTGTTCTCACCTTAGTAGGAACGGGTAGGTGGGGCGTGAGTAGCGGGGAGCTAAACCAGCGAGCGGAAGGGAGGGAGAATGAAAGGAAGAGACAACCTAACAAAGTGTCAGATTCGTCGTTATGTCATGTAGTTTATAAAGTCATGTTGCTTTTCTGTGCAGTAGCGCTAGTGCAGTCGGTAGGGGAAAGGCGTTGGGTATGAAGGAGGTAGGTTCGAATCCTGCTGAAGCTGCTTATCCGAGTCTTGCTATATATGTCAATTACCACAGGTTTTTATTAAAGTATTCGCACTTGTAGAAAATTGTGTACATGTCGTTATGTAAAATGTAAAAATTTGTGTACATATCGTTATGTAAAATGCTTCGCAACCCTAAGACGATTTAGTCGCCTCTTGTTTTTTTTTTTAATTACAAATTGTCAGTTGGTAGATCTAGAGCCATACTCTAGTAAAAGTCCTCGTAGAGAATTCATGACCTTCACTGTTAGTCTCCCCGACAGTTTCCGTTGTTCCTCTAGGTGCCGCACAACGCCACCCATTTGCATCAAGTCTGGTCCTCTTGCCGTCGTGTATGGTACCCACTTGCATTCTTGGTGTCATGTGCGGGACAACTGAATTTCTTGAAAGGCATCAGCAGCACGCGTATTCTTCTTGACCAATGACCACACTGCCTAATTAGTGCATCACACGTTCAGTATTGTCTTTCGCAAATTTGACTTGTGTGTGTTGAATCCAGCAAACTTGTGTTGTCAATTTCACAATCGAGAAGAGCTTGATAGAGAGCAGTAAAATAGCGTCCACAAATCTCTTATCAGACGTGTGTTGCATCACCAGAAATACTAGTGAAACATGGAAAACGTGCTCCTGTATGGATGGCCCCAAATAAAGTTTTTTTTTTTTTTTTGTATGGATGGCTCCTGTGTGTGTTGAATCTATGTGTGATTCCATTTTGTAAGTTTTTTTTTTCATCTCCCATAACTCACATAAAGAGGACTTTGTCGATACAAAGTTCATTTCGCACGGTCCTTTCTACCCTTCGAAGTGGTGGGTTGGCAAGCAGAAGAAAAAAAAAGGACCTCCACTTTTGATTCAACAGAGGATGCACAATCGAGAGTCGGAGACGCGCTGTGACTCTAATCCCTGAACCAACCACATCATCGCCATGATCCACTGCCGCGTCTCTTGAGGTCGTGCCGTGTAACCGCTGCAAATGGCCTATTCTTGAACCGACTGCAACCACAGCAGTTGGCGTGAAGAGAAATATTATTCCATCAAGCGTACAAACTGCTATCCTAAGGGTTTCGTCTCGTCACCGTCATCCCCTGTGCCAGCGCCTCTCGCCCTCTTCCGGCACTACGTCGCCGGCACGACTCTCATTCCCAACCTAGCCCGTCCTCTTCCACATCAACGAGTCGGCAACGCTCTTCTATTCAACACTTCATCTAATCGTCGACTCCGCCACCTCAATAAGCTCCGCGACCCCGAAGAGACTTCGCCATGGCGAGCAGGCAGGCAGTAGTGGTGGCGCGTCGACCAGATGTGCTCCGAGACGAGATGCTCTGCCCCATCCCTCCCGTCAACTGGAAGGAGGAGACGGGGCCCGGCCGACTCAAGGAGCCAAGCCCGGTTGCTAGCCCCGTCGCTGTCCATCATGGCTTGGACAGCGAAGCGTGCCCCATCGCCCCGCAAGACTGGCGCTCTCGCTCTCAGAGTGACGCACCAGGAAGGATAGCAGTGCCGCTAGTGCGCAGGACCGAAACAGCGGCGTCGACTGCGTCTTCCGAAGGCGATGAATCAGGCGGCAAACGGCGGGGCGAAACGGCCACACACGAAAGTACACTTAAACTCATAGTGGATGCAATTCAGCCGGCGGCGCAAGAGCTTTTAACAAAAACCGGCACTCCCGCTTCATCCGCCACTCCGACGTACTTTGCGGCCTCGCAATCCGTCGCGTCCGCGCTCATGTCCCCTCGCCCTGTCACGGGCACGCCTTCCTCATCAGCCGCGTCATCCGAGACTGGCGCGCCTTCAGGCACTTTGAGTTCCAGCAGCGGCAGCAGGAGGAGCAGCCGCAGCAGCAGCAGGAGCTCCGCGTGCGCCGAGGAGGTGCAGCTAGAGGTCACCGTCAAAAGCCCTGATGCAAAAGCGCAAGCGCCGTCCTCGTTGCCCGCGTCTACCACTGCGTCCCCTTGTGGCAAGGGCGTGCGTGCGCTTGCGCGTCACACCAGCGAGTATGGCCCGACTCGAAACAGCTCCGAACATAGCGATGGCTCTCACGAGAATTGCGTCCAAGCCGAGCTGAAACAGGGTATGGACGTATCGCCAATCGGCGACTTCTCTTCGCGCGGATTCGGTTACACTGGCCTAGTCAAGTCCTCATCGGGGGGTCCATTTCTCGCGCCTCTTTTCCCATCTTACGCCTCGTCTGCCGCCTCCGTCGCAGCACCTGCGGTTAGTACTACCTCCGTCGCGCTCTTTCCTTCGGAGAGCGATCTTTCCGTTTCGCATGCTGTCTTCAATCCCGCGTCAGCGAGGGACGCAGTGGAGCCGGCCGCGGCGGTAACGGCGGCGCGGCGCGTCACTGTGGGCGGCGTAGCGCAGTTCCCGTGCTATCAGTCGCCACGGGACGTGTTCGCGGGAATTTCAAATTCCCCGACTGAACAAGCGGCGGTGGCAACAGGCAGCTGTTTCGGCCGAGCAGCAGCGGAGGGAACCACGGGCAGTGGGCGCAGGCGATTCTCCGAGGCTTCGAGTCGTGAGGAAGCGATTCGCGCGGGAATTGAAATGGGCGTGGCCATGGGCGTAGGCGTGGAGATTGGGCAGCGGTGCCGCGAGACTATAAGCAAGGGCGGTGAGGAAGCAGGAGCTGATGTTCCTGCAGTGAGCTGCGCGGATTGGTCAGGTGAGTTCGCCGTTGATGGTTTGACTTAGCTTTAAAGGTATCGCCATTGCCGATGTATAGCGCATGATGTGTTTATGTATGATTCCGCCCTAGTGTTCGCGCTACCCATTTCCCTCCTCCCCCTTCCTCTCCTTTCTCGTGTTTCCACCTTTCCCACTGATGTGTCCACCTTGGCAGAACTGAGTCATCTGTGCGGCAAGATGGACGCCGCGGGGATTCGCATCGAACAGATCGACCTCACCACGCTTGGCGACACCGTTGACGATATCACCATCCACTGAGTCTCCATACCTCATCGCCTTTGAAGTGGGCTTTGCGTTCTTGCTCGCCCCACCGCCTCCTGGTTCGTTGCATGTGGGAGCCTGCCAATTTCGCCATCAGCTGGACGCGCTTGGGTACGACTGTCGTCGCATCTTACTACCCTTCTGTGGACTGACCACGACATCTTAGGTGCAGAATTCACGTCTTAGGTGCAGAATTCACGCACCCGTTACCATCAGCGTTTAACTCATCGGAATAAATGTCTCTTTCACTCTATCCGTACCTTCCCAACTCTCGTTTCGCTCTGTCTATACCTCATATCTTACTGTCCACGTCAACCACCATCAAAGCTAGAGCAGCCCAGACTGTAGCTACTCCATCTCCCAGCCACAGGGTTCTTTGTTGTGTGATTTGCTCTCTTCTGGAACTCTCAACCTTGTATGCCAAGTCAATAGTGTACAATTCTAATCAGACATCATTCATTCCACTTCGCCAAACATTAAGATTCAATTCATGCTACCAAACTACATCGTGGTACCGTATGTACAAGCCAAACATTTGACGAGGATGGTACTGATGAATGTATGAAAGCAGAATCGTCATATTACAGTGTGCTGATTGAATGTCTCAATGAAGGCATCAGTCATGAATTGGCTTCTCTGGCACATCACGGAGGGCTCCTTCGGGGTGCCCCGCGAACTGCGCTCCTTCGTATGCCTGTTCCGCCCGCGCCTTTCCGCCCTTCCGACCCATCTCCACGTAGTCCTCGTGTGTCATCTGAGCCTTGCGCGCTTCACCACCCTTCTTCCCCCCCTCCACAATCTTCTCATGCGCCCTCTCAGCCTGCTCCTGCGTTTGGCCAAGTTGGGGGCCTGTCTTCAGCTCTTCCCTACGCGACGCCATAGAAACAGCTCTGCTCTTGGGTGGCCAACGTCGTGGAGTGGGCTCTGGACACTTGCGTCGTAGTACTAATTACTACGAGATTTGACTTCGGTGATTCTCGTCCATAAAAATAGGCGAGAAACAGAACAAAAAATCTGTATGGAACAAGAGACGAAATTGATGCTTCGCGACGCGACTGACAGCATGCGTTGCGACCCGACGAGGCGTGTCTCTCGACAACCCCACCCGACGTGCATGAGCCTTTGTGAGGCTTGCAAGCTCCCGTGTAGTTTTGAACTCTACTAGCGAAGCCTTTGGTAAACACTACTATATGTAACTTCAGAAGGTACTGTGAGTCTTAGACACATCAAAACACACTTGGAAAAAGAAAAAAATCAATCTAAACTTCAGATGAGCGTCAACTTTTGCAACGCTGCATTGCTTCCACCTGAGTGTTGAATTTTTAATTGGCGTGGGGTTGAATAAGCTTCCTCCATGAAAACATGTTAATGCGTGTAACCCACTGTTTTTTTCCTGAATGGATCACATCATAATCCAGGAGTAGCGGGAAGGATATTGCACCCAACCTAATCAGCATACTTCAGAATGTGCAAGGGCATGACGAGATCTTGAATGACAGCCATTGATGGAGAGTGAACTGCAAGCTCAAACGATGTCTGCAAGTCATTGAACAAGGCGGAGTGCATGCGGGCAGTCAGGCAAGGGAGGCAGGGGTAGTGGGGAGGACGTGGGGGAAGGAAAAGGACGGGGGAAGAGGGGGGATTACAAGATAGAAAATGGGGTGAGAAGGCCCAAGCATATCAGGGTAGCAAATCCTGATAAGAGAAACAAAACATGGTGGGGGGGGAACAAAATGGAAGTCACGGGGGTGTTTGAGAGTGAAATGAAGCAATAAGGTGAAAGCTGAGAAGGAGAATGCTTCAGGTAGAAGGAAAATTTGATCACATAATTGCAAACACATGCGATGCCATCCTTCTGTGCTGAAGAGCATGACTAAGGCGTGTTCCTACGTCTCATATCAGGCAACCTCATATCAAACTTGCCTGGTAAAACTAGCGAAGGATTTTGGGTTTAGGGGAATTTTCAGTGTGAGCCTGATATGAGGCTCGCTTGATACGAGGCGTAGGAACACGCCCTAACACCAGACGGGCACAATGACTTACACGTGGAGAAATGACTAGCGAAGAAAAGAACGGTAGTGAATGTTTCCTCGAAACATCTTTAGTACATAGTTGTTGGCATTGACGAGTGCGAATAGTAGTGTGTCTGCTGCTACATTGCCTTCCCAGTTCGCCCTGGGCTGAAAGGCTCACCTGCTGAAACACCTGGCTATGCCCTGTCTGCACAAAGCCCTGGGGGAAAGGGTGGCAGGGAGGTGGAGAGGATGCGAGAGGGAGGGTGAGTGTGAGAGAGCAATGGAGTGCGTGGAGAGGCATTGTGGAAAGGGAGAAATGGAGGGAGGGAGGAGGGTTGGTGAGATTGGGGTGAGAGCGAGGGGTCGATGGCGTGGAGGCAGCGGAAGAAGGTTGATACAAAGCTGGTTGCTGGAAACGAGTATTGAGAGAAACGGCTCATCCGCCCCTCGATTCATATGCTGGAGGACTATGACTGCCATGCTGCGCGCTTCACTGCTGTGCTGTGTCGTCCATACAAGCTTGGCTGTGCTGTCCTGCACATCTCCTGCCCACCGCCTTGGCGTGGCAGCAAGGCATCACAGTCTACTGCCAGGGCGTTCCCTTGACAACTAGGGCAGCAGAGAACACTAGAAAAAGAGGGGTGGCGAGGGGAATAACGACTGGCACAGAGCAGACAGCAAGGTGAATGTGGGGATGGAGGAGGCAGGCAGCATGTGGGACGCACGAGGGAGCGGAAGAGTGCGAGGGAGGGCGCATTGGAGTCGTTGATCTTGGCACGGAACGTGGTGACGTGCAGGTGCCACGCCGCGTATGCCAGCATCAGCTGCAAAGCCTCCCTTCCCAAGCCCCGCCCTCGACTGGCCTTGCCACACAGGGGGGAGACAAAGCGGGGAGGACAAGAAAAAGGTGATGAGAAAGAGCAGGGAAGGGGAGCCTGCCGATCATTGACCCACCCCCTCGTCCTCGCCCGCTGATTCTCTCCTAACACCCCTCCGTCTGTCTACTCTATCCCTCTCCTCGTCTCCGTCTCCCGTGGTGTGCCAGTGTGCGTCTCACCACGTGGGGTCGGCAATCATGACCTCCACCTCAGCAGCCGTGGGATGGTCAGGGTCGTTGAGGAAGAGGTTCACGTCGCCACACATGCCTGCCACACACGCCGCACAGGTGCACTCACACCACGTGCACGGGAGGAGGAACGAAAAGCGGTAACACGTGAACCGTACAGTCACTGCGAGAGGAGGTAGAAGTGTTGGTGAGAGGTGGGGAGGGTGTGACGTACCGTCAAGGTGGGAGGGCGAGTGGCGAAGGCAGCCTACTGCGTCGCCCTCTGCTGCTGCCGCGCCTTCTACTGCCGCTGCTGCCGCTGCTGCTGCTGTCTCTGGTGGTGCACCCAAAGATGGGCCCGTGGTAGCTCCAGGCAGCTCCCCGGAGGTGTTGGCTAGGACCGGTATGTGTGAACGGTCTAGCAGTATGAAGGTGCACTCTGATGCTCGCACACATGCACACATGCACACATGCACACATGCACACATGCACACATGCACACATGCACACATGCACACATGCACACATGCACACATGCACACATGCACACATGCACACATGCACACATGCACACATGCACACATGCACACATGCACACATGCACACATGCACACATGCACACATGCACACATTCACACATGCACACATGCACACATGCACACATGCACACATGCACACATGCACACATGCACATGTGCACACATGCACGCATGCACACATGCACACATGCACATGTGCACACATGCACGCATGCACACATGCACACATGCACATGTGCACACATGCACGCATGCACACACAGATAACGCACCCACACACACATTTTCTGACGTGTGCACATCAAGTGCACACGAGGGGCACAGACAACCAGGCAAAGAGCAGCAGCGGGCATGCAATGCAGCACAGCATGTGCACATCACTCAGTCCCCTTCCTGTGTGCGCCCATGCCCTGTACCACCCCAGTCCCTGCATCTCACTGTCGCTGTCGTCTCGCCAGCGCTGCTGCATGCTGTACTCCTCCTCTAGGCTCAGCGGCTCCGATCCTGTCGCCTCCTGCAGCCACGGGTCCTGCCACACCAGCGCGGGCAGGTGGGTGTAGAGCAGCGGGGGTGTTGAGGGGTTGAGGGGGGTGACGGAGGGCGAGGGGGCGATGGGCGAGGAACGAGCGGAGAGGCGAGAGACAGGGGGGTGGGGGCGGGAGGAGAAGTAGAGACGCAAGGGGCATGCGAGATGGAGACGGGGGACAGAGGGGAGAGGGGAGGAGAGGAGCGTGAAAGGGACGTGCGAGAGGTGGCCGTGATGTGCATGCGGTTCATTGGCGCACGCGAGCACGCTTGCTCACCTGCATCCACGAATGGTACTTGGCCACGTGGCATGCGCGGTAAGGCACCAGCACCACCTGACGTGCGGAATGATATGCATTGATAGAAGGGGCATGGAGGAGAAGAGTGGGAACGGGAGAAGAGAGGAGAAGTAGAGGGGTTGGGGGGAAAAGGGGGGAGGGGGGGAAGGTGGAAGGTGTGGAAGGCGGGGGATTTGGGGGGAGGGTGAGCACGCGAAGCAGCAGCAGCACCACTCCTTCCGCCGTCTGAACCCCGCTTCCGCCGCATTACCTTTCGGCCAACCACGCACGTGCTCTCGTTCGCCCGCATGGCTTTGTGCGCACCCCCTTCCGCGCTCAAGCGAATGCGGCACTAGCGGAAGCGCGCCGTGGTTGGCGGTAATGCCGGGATCCAACTGCACGGTTGTGAGCGGCGAGTGGGGGAATGCAGCGCGGCTTCTGCACACTGCACCCGGATCTGAGGGACTAGAGGCGCGGCAGACAATATACTTTACGGTTTGCAGGGTTCAGTGAATCCTTCCAGATTCCAAATCAAACGTACGACAAGGAACTAATTGAATGTGATGCAAATGAGGATCTAGCTTTCTTTACGAGCATTTCCCAGCTTGGTGAGGCCGTCGGTGGCAGGTTTGGGAAGTCGGGGAGACCGAAGCTTTCGTTTGGACTCACCAGCATGGAGTCACCCCTCAGGACGTGGTAAGAGGGGGAGGATCGCAGGATCGCGATTGTTTCTTGAGCCCCAGAATTGATTGGGCGGATCGATTGGCGAAACGAGTGGCCCGCTTGGTTGTAACGATCGCCCCAGCATGATGGTTTGGCTCTTCCACATTCGATACTTTGGTTTTTCCTACGACGCCTGCGACATTTCGTAGCCTACAAGGCAACCAGAAGCGACATTCGCAGCCCACAGGCCCATTGCGGGAAAGATGCGAGACTCCATTCACCCGCTTTGCGAAATTACGGCACTTCGCTGGCATCAACATCAATCGTGCCTGTTGCGAGTGGATCGTGAACATCATCTGCAGAGTCATGCGTCGGAAAGCTGGACACCAATCAGTGATCAGACGCATTCACCACCTGTGCACAATATGTCGACAAAATCCAAACTGTAGTATGATTACAAGTCCGTAAACAGGGTAACTGATCTGCACACCAGTCGCAGTTCACGATCAATCGTCTACTCCTACCGCGTCCTCAAGTCTTGGAGGGGTGACTCCATGCCGAGCCTAATCTTCCGAGACAGCAGTTGTCAGTTCGATATAGTGGAAATCACACATATAAGGGAGTGTACTGATTCTAATGGAAATGTTTATTCTGATTTGATCCTCAGCCCATTATTCATGAGATCACATATGAGAAAACTAAATATAAAAGGCTTACACAATGTCCAAGAATCAGAACCAGGGCATCCACCATATGTACATGCGGGCAAGGTTCTCAATGGAGGTGGCCTGCTGTATGAGGCAATCCGCCTGCCCCTCCACTGACAGTGGCAGCGATGGCGCTGCCGCCACGCCCACCACCACGCCCTGCAGCCGTGAGTCAATGTTCGACAGTGCTTTCTGTGGCAACAGAGGGAAATTGACCAAGTGGGGACAGAAAGAAGATGTGTGAGAAGGAAGGCAAGTGGGGGGAAGGCAGACGACATGGCAATTGTGCACCTATGGGGCTCATGCACTGCACACCCCATGGCCCACACACGCGCGCACACACACACACACACACCTGTGCATAAGGATTCTGAATCTCCCCCGTGCCCATAGCCACACCTCCTCCCCCAGCAGCAGCAGCTGCAGCGGCAGCAGCGGCAGCAGAGGAGGAGGAGGAGCGGTGGGGCTTGGTCCACTCGACAAGGGGGTCGTGCAGGAAGGTCTGCAGCACGGACATGAGCGCGGAGCGGTGGCAGCGCAGCAGCGCCAGTGTGATCTCCGCCGAGCGCCGGAACATGCCCTCACACCCACTGATGCCAAACCCGTCCACCATGTTCTGGTGCGCCGCACACACGGGGCACAGGCGATGAGTGGACGGAGAACAGAATCGGCAAATGTGATTGGATCAAAAGAAGGAAAGGGAATTGGTGACTTGGTCAAAGGATAAGAAATAACAGGGTTAAGGAGCGTGTGGGGAGGCGGGAGCAGTGGCGAGGAGCGAGTGAGATGACAGAATGCGAGGACACATGGCTGGGAAGCAAGCCACCTGTGAGTAGAAAACACCGTCATCACTCACGCAGTTGAAGCCTGCTTAATCGCATCCCTCCTCCCCTCGGGCGTTCACACGAGAGTGAAGACGCTTTGAACACCACTGCAACCAAACCCTCCAACATTCACTGTACAATCCTTCCCGCAAGCCCGTAATCTGCACATCACCACATCCCCCATCACCCACCACCCACCATCTCTGCGCCGTCCCAGCTTCGCCCACCAGCACACACCACACGTCCCCTCCCCAGCAGCAGCAGCGCAGTGCACGCACCTGAGTGAGGCGGAAGGGCACGAGCTCGGGCTGCTGCAGCGACAGCCCCTTGTCGAAGAGGCAGCTGAAGTCCACGTGCACGCACTCGCCACTGGCGCCGTCCACCAGCAGGTTCTCCCCGTGGCGGTCGCCCAGCCCCACCACGTGCCCCACCATGGACCACACCGCACAGCTGCGCGTGAACGCTGCGCGCGCCGCCAGCCACGCGGAGGGGTCGGGGAAGGCGCGGGGGAACCAGCGGTGGAAGAGCGGGGGGAAGAGCGGCAGCACGTGGCGGCGCAGCAGGTCTGCCTCGCTCTGTCCCGTGGATGCGCGCTGATCGTACAGCCGCTTCACCTGCCCCAGCGTCTTCTGCCGGTCAAACAGCCCGTGCGCCGCGTACAAGTCCTGGTGCGCACGGGGGATGTACAGGACGAGAGGGCCGGTGGGCATGGGGGGAAAGGGGGAGAGATGATGTGTAGAGAGGAAGGTTGATGGAAAAGTCTTGGGCCATGGGTTGCTGGCGACCGCAAGCAGTACAGAGTTCTCAGCAAGGCATCTCCACGTGTAAGCCTGCGTGCATGCGCACCTGCATGACGTGGCGGAAGCCGCGCGTGTGCGGCACCCACTCCACCATGCCGCAGTCCTCTGTGAGCGGCAGCACGGCGAACGTGCGCAGGCGCAGCGCGCGGCGGCGCCCCTCGGGGGCGCGGTGCAGCAGGCGGTTGAGCAGCGCGGCGACGTCCATCATGCGCGCGTCCTTGCGCAGATCGTCCTTGGGCTTGCACAGGAATGGGTACCGCCTCCCGTCACTGCCCACCAGCACCACCTGTGTGGGGGCTCACGAGGGTAGGATGGGACCGGGGCAGGAGTGAAGGGGGAGGAAGCGAAGGGAGAGAGGGCTGGCGAGTGAAGGGAGAGGGGAAATATTCGGGGGAAGACGAAAGCGGACGAATGAGTGAGGGCACGCGGGAAGGTCAGTGAAGCCTGGTGTCCTCAATCCTTTCATTCCTGACCTTCTTGGGGCGCTGCAGCGACTGCAGCACCTCCACCTCATCCGCAATCCCACAAATGGTCACACACTCGCCCTCCCCACCGCCACTGCTGCCACCACTGCTGCTGGCAGCGGCATAGGGCGCAGCAAGGACGGCTTGAGTGGGCAGTGCAACAGCGAGTGGCATGGAGCGCTTGAGCGCACTGAAGTCAGAGGAGATGCTGAGCGCCCTCATGCGCGGCGCTGATGACCCCGTGCTGCCGTGGAAACACAGCCGAATCATGGCGTCTGCAAACGACGTGAACTGGGATGGGGGGAGGGATGCGGAGAGAGAGGGAGGGAGGGGGGCAAGGGTCAACTCTGTGCGTCACTATGGAGATCCGCCCAGCATGCGGGGCTGACGCTGAACGCAGGGCTTGGAGTGCGAACCATATTGAAGCCATCACAGTACGTGTCGATAGTGGGAGCGCCACAGAAGCAGCAGAGCAAAGCTTGTATTGTTAGCCTAGAATTCCAAATGCTAAATGCCTGCTTACTTCTGAGATGAGAGCAAGGAGGCTTGTGCCAGCAGCACCGCCCTCCTCTCTGGCCGCTGCCTTGGCCCCAGACACCACCTCGTTGGCGGCATCCCTGCGCGCCGGCACAGCAGACTTGCACACAGCGATGAGCGTCCAGAGCGTGGGGTGCGGGTGCGCCGTCAGCAGGCGCACCAGCAGCGCCTTGAGCAGTGCGCACACGGTGGGGTTGGGGTGGCAGATGCGCGAGGTGAGCTGCGGCAGCGCAGCCAGCCAGTGTGCCGAGGGCAGCGACGCAATGCAGTCCGCCATGAGCTTGTGCACGCGTGCGCTCTCCGCCTTGAGCGCAGCGTTGCCACGCACAGCGCTCTCCTGGAAGCGGCCACCGAAGTCGAACCAGAGGGTGAGGAGGCGCGGCAGGGCCTGTGAGAGGAAGAGCGTGCCGCGGTGCAGCGCGTTGGAGTAGCACAGCAGCGCCTCGTGCACGTGCTGCCACCACGCACTCTCCTCCACACCCAGCCGCACCGCCGCTCCTCTGCTGCCCCCCACCCCGCCCGTGCCTGCACTGCTCACGCCCCTCCCACCACCCGCCCCGTTCCCTGCACGCCCCTTACCTCCCCCTGCTCCCCCTCCCCCCACTGCTGCCACTGCAGTTCCACCATCATCCTCCTGGCGGCGCTGCGCGTCGACGAGCAGGTCGTCAAAGTAGCGCGCGAGGAAGAAGAAGGGCTTCTCCCACTGCGGTTGCAGCTGTGCAGCGCGCTCGTACACGTGCACCACGTCCGCTGTCTGCTTCTGCCGCGTCTCGTGCGACCACCGTGCCAGCAGCAGGAGAGCCCGTGCCATCTGCCACGTATCCCTCGCTCCTTCCGCCCCTCCGCCGCTTCCTCCCCGCCCTACTCCTCCAGCAGCATCCTGCCCTGCGTTGTTATCCCCTGTACAAGCCGCCTCGGCAACGGTTAAGAACTTCTGCAGCTCCTGTGTGGCCTGGTACTCTCTGCCTGACGCCCACAGCACCTTGGCTGCCTCCACTTCCGAACCTGCTGTTCCCAGCGCCCGAGCCTGCAGCACAGCCCTGGTGGCAGCCTGGCAGTGCCCAGCCTTGCGACAGGTACGGGCGAGCTCGAGCCAGTTTCGCCCAACCTCATCTTCAAGTCTGGCAGCTTGGCACAGCATGCGCCGAACCGCAAGCACCAGCTCCCGAACCTTGAAACTTGGTTGGGTTGCATGCAGTCGGCTCGGCCAGGCCTGAAGCCTCTCTTGTACTTGTGCTTGAAACTCTTGTATACTGTTGTCCACTCCTCTTCCTGGTGCTACTGCTGATGCTGCGTCTCCAATTAGTCCCAGTGCTCCAGACCTCCCCCCACCCCCCTGCAACCTCCCCAGCCTGGCCCCGCCACTCCCCAGCAACGCACCACTGACCCCTTGACCGCCCCCACCAGCTGCAGCCGCAGAGCACGCGCTTATAACGGGTATACATGCTTCAATCTCGTGCAGAGCGTGCAGGTTGACGAGCACGGGGTAGGCGCGGTCGTACGACTCCATAGCTGCAGCAGCCAGCGCCGGCAGCACGCATGCACGCGTGCGCACCACCTCCTCCCGGCACTGCGCCCACGCTGCTGACCGCATCGCCAGCCCCACTCGCGCCAGCCCCAGCTGAAACTCCTCCTGCCACCCCGCTCCCCCCACCCTCGCTGCACCCAGTCCGTCCGACATTGCCTGCTCGTCATGCTGTGGCACAGGGTGAGCGTCTTGCTGAGCTGCGGCCACATACTCATGCAGCAGGTCCCATGCGCCCAGGCGCCACGCTGCCTGCACGCCCGTGGCCGCCCATGTGGGGGCGGCGAGGGGGAAGCGCAGCAGCAGCCCGTCCACGTGGGTGAGCGTGGCGTGCAGGTGACCCATGCTCAGCAGACACCCCAGCAGCCCCACGTGCAGACCCACCCGCATGCTCGCCTGCTGCTGCTCCACTGCTTTCTCTTCGCACGGATACTCCGTGGCCCTTTCCTCACACAGTTTCCCCTCTCCCACCCCCCCCGGCGGCAGCTGTTGTACCTCCACTCGTCTCCGCATCACCTGCACCCCACTGTCGCCTGTACATGCACCCGCCAACGCGCCTCCAGCCATGGCAACCCCCCCTGCAGCAGCGCCCCCCAGGGCGTCCTCGTACAGGGTGAGCGCGTCGGCCCAGCGCCCCTCCTGCTCGCACATCACCATCTCGTCCCTCGCTCTCACGCCACTCGCCTCCCCTGCCCCTGCTGCCCCACGCAGACTCACCAATCCGCGCATGCCATCCGGCTCCTCCAGCGACCGGTAGATCTCCAGCAGCAGCGACACATCAGCATCGCGGAACGCCCCTCCCTGGCGCTGCTCCTCCCTACTCCCACCACCACCTCCTCCGTTTCCTCTGCCTGATTCCCTTGCATCTGCTCCATCCCCAGTAACCGCCCCACCATTGTCCATTCGCCCCGGACCCGCCTCCGAACCAGCCAGGCTCGGCAGCGTAGGCTTGGCGCCACCCCCAGCGGCAGCAGGGTTGAGAGTGCCGGACCGCTCCCTGACACTAGCCTCGTGGTACATGTAGGCACGGGAATAAGCCTGGCAGCGCAGGGCCGCGTGCGCCAACACCTCCTTGCTCACCTCCCTCTCCACCACCCACCGCACCCGCCCACACACTTCCTCCGCATGCCGTACCTGCGCTGCAGAGCAGACAAACTTTGCCGTCCGTGCTGGCGCTGTGGCTGCTGTTGCTGCAGCCGGTGGTGGGGAGGGAGAGAGGAGGGCGAGGAAGGCGAGGAGGGGAGAGGAGAGGACGTCAGAGGGCGGGGGTCTGCCAGAGACGACTGCCATCTTGACCTGCTCCACCACGCTGCTCGCCTGCTCCAACCACGACTGCACCCAGTCCAGCAGCGAGAATACCGCCTGCAGTACCATCGCATCGCCCTTTGACGCTGCACCCCCATCGGTTCTGGACGCAGATGTGACACGGTTACCAGCAGCAACAGCAGAACCAGCGGCAGGGCCTGCCCCCTGCCCTTTTCCACCTCCAGGCGTCAAGGCCCAGGTGACCACAGCCAGAATTTCATCCCGAACCTCCCCCCTAGCTTCGTCGCTGCCAAAGCAGAGCACGTTGAGGGTGAGGTGTGGGAGGAGGAAGAGAGCAGTGGGCGCGTCAAACTGCAGGATGCCGGTGCAGGCAGCAAAGATGCCACCTCTGAACCCCGCTGCCTGCTCCACCATGCGCCGCATCCACCGGTACAGCCACCGCCGGAACAACGCCCCTGGTCGAAACACCGCCCTCGAGAAATCTCCAGCGCCACCCACACCTGAAGCTGCGGGCCCTCCTTGCTGCAATTCTTGTTTCGTGGCAGAGGAGCGTGTTGGCAGGCGCTGCAGGCTGAAGTGGGACGTGAGGCACGGCGAGATCACCTCCCTCACCTCGCCCCGCAGCCTCTCCCACAGCCTCACGCCCCTCTCGCTCCACCTCCCCTTCCCCTTCCCCCCTCCCTCCTGTCCCTCTGCCGCTGCCTCCGCCGTATCAGCCTCCGCTCTCCTTTCCTCCTCGTCAACCTCCTCCTCCTCACGGCTGCGCCGGCACCCGAACACGCGCAGCATCTCCTGGATGGCGCACGCAGCGGCGTCCTGCACGTCGGCGTCCGTGGCGGCACGCACCACACGTGCCAGGTGCAGCGAAATCAGATCTGCTGCCAGCTCCTCATCGTCGCATGCAACCATCAGTGCACATGCAGACCTGCACCCCTGCCCCACACCCTGCTGCTGCTGCGCCTGCTGTGACCCTGTGTGTGCTTGCAGCATGGCGGCCTTGACCCCCGCTGAAGTGGAGAGCCTAGCAGGGTCCACGGCGCCTAGCTCGCCCAGGCACTCAGCGCAGGCGAGCTTCAGCAAGTGACTCGTCACGGTCTTCGACTCCTCTGCACTGCCCGCCAGCAGCGCTGCCACGGCCGCGCACACTGCCTCCCTGTCCGCCTCTCGCTCGCTCACCAACATGGCACTCACCGCACCACCATGCTCCTGCAGCAGCCGCTTCATGCCGTCGGCGGCCACCAGGCGCACGCTGATGGACTCGTGCCCCAGCCCCGCCACTGTCAGCACCACCTTCTCCCGCACCCCCAGCCGCCCCCTCGCCTCCTGAATCACACCGTTCACGTGTCGCAGGGCGCCCAGGTCGGGCAGAAGCGGCAGGGCGCGCAGGTGAGAGCCCAGGATGGCGCCGTGCTCAATCACGAGCGCACTGAACACCGCAGCAGCTTTCTGCAAGTGCGGCCGAAGCATCTCCTCACCCTGCGCTGCCCTCACCGCCCGCTGTGTCATCGCCAGCTCCTTCACCTCCTTCTCCGACAACCCCCCCCCAGTTACCACACCACTCTTCCCCTCACTGCTCCTCCCCCCCCTCTTGCCCCTCGAACTCCCATCCCGGCTCTTCCCCTTCCCCTGCCCCACATCCCCGTCCTCATCCCCCTCCCCCACCGCCCTGTCCCCCGCACCTGCCCATTCGTCTTCCAAGCCCCCTTCAGGGCCTTCCAAGCAGGGCAGCAGCGCGACGGCGATCTGAGAGCACATGCTCCTGAGCACGCCCGGTGCATACTCCGCCAGCGTGTGCACAAACCTCAGCCACACGTCCAGCCCTGTGCTGCGCACGCTCTCCGCCTGCCCCTGCTCCACGCCCACCGCCAGCAGCGCAAACATCTTGGGCGCAAACGCCGCCAGGCGCTTGGGGCCGGCCAGCTTGGCCAGCTGCCCGATCACCCTGAGGGCCTGCTCTTGCCGGGGTGGGTCGGAGCGCAGGCACAGTGAGGAGCGGTGCAGGGCGTTGAGGATGCGCATGAGGTGCGCGCACAGGAAGTCCGCTGCCCTGTCCTCCGTGGCCTCGCTGCCCGTTGTCAGCGCCACCAGCTCCCTTATCGTCGGGAACACTCGGCTCGCCCTGCCATGCACACACAGCATCACAGGTATGAGCGGGAAACAGGACTTGTGGTTTACGTCAGGAGGGGAAGCAAGGAAGGAGCAACGAGAGCAGTAGTGCGTGCAGTGCAGGACGACAATGGCATGTGGTGGAAGGCGGATGGAGTGGAATGGCTGCCAGGGCAAGTCGGCCATAGTTACCCCAGCAACTACAGCAACCCAGCGGTATCTCCTTGTATGTGAGAACATGGGAACGGTGCAAGGCAAGGCAAATCAAGGCAGGGCGCTTACCGTTTGAGCGCAAGTTCGCTGCTGTGGTCCCCCAGAAACCAGCACATCTCCTCCAGCAGCGGCCCTGTGATGCCTGCAAACACGTCCTGGGGCGACAGCCCCGTGTGCGCCTCATAGAAGTGCAGCAGCAGCAGCAGGCTCTGGCTGTCCGTGCACAGCAGCAGGCGTGCCAGGATCTTGTGCGCCCACATCATCAGCAGCAGCGCCAGCTCCGTGCCCTCTGCCTGCGCTATCGCCTGCAGCACCGCCAGCGCCTGCACAGGGACCGAGCAGCACAGAGGGAGACGCAGAGGCGAAGAAGAAGAAAACGCATCATGGGAATGAATGATGCCACGCCGACATGATGTCGCTCCACAGCTACACATGATGTCGCTCCACAGCTACACATGATGTCGCTCCACAGCTACACATGATGTCGCTCCACAGCTACACATGATGTCGCTCCACAGCTACACATGATGTCGCTCCACAGCTACACATGATGTCGCTCCACAGCTACACATGATGTCGCTCCACAGCTACACATGATGTCGCTCCACAGCTACACATGATGTCGCTCCACAGCTACACATGATGTCGCTCCACAGCTACACATGATGCGCTTCGCACTACAGCCCCATGGCCCCCAACCCGCAATCCCCTGCCGATTCACGCGCGAATTCCTTCCCAGGGTCCTTACCTTAGCATCCGTGGCATCTCCATGCGTCTGCTGCGGTGACCCACCCCCCGCCTCCTCCACTGCCGCCTCCAGCACCTTGCTGGGCAGCACCACGGGCAGCATCCTCGTTATAAGCTGCTCCACGTCCCACCCCAGCACGTCGCGTGCAAAGGCGTGCACGAGGGCAGGGCGGGTGACGAGGCGGGAAGCGAGGTAGTCAAAGCAATCCTCCTGGATGCGCTGCACCACCGCCCACACACTCCCCTCACTGCTCTCTCCCATCGCACTGCCACCACCTGCAGGGCCTGTGCCTGCTGCCCCTTCTGCTGCGCCTGCTGTGCACGGCAAGGGCGATGGGACGCTGGCAGCACTGGTGTTTGGTGCGCGGGTGTGGTGGTGGGGGTGCGTGAGGCGGTGGCAGGAGGAGCGGAGCGTGGCGACTGCTGCTGCCTGCAGGGAGAGGTGCGCCGCATCCAGCTGCTCCACCTGGCCAGGTGCAACGTGGGCGCACGAGGGCGAGAGGGGGGCACGAGAGGGCGAGAGGGGAGGAGAGCAGAGGGAGAGCGCGGAGAGTGGGAGAAAGGTTATAGGGACGAGGAGATGGATGCGGTGGATCGTGGGTACAGGAGTGTGAGTGCACCTGCCACAGCAGGAAATTCATTCTTAAAAAAAGGGGAGACATGATTGGTCAGCAAGAATGGTAACATCATGCATGAGAAAAGGGAAGCTAAAGAGAAGAGAGCAGCATTTGGTTGTGGGTGAGGAGTGGTTGACGCGGAGTGGTGGTGTGCAGAGGATGGTGGTGTGCAGAGGATGGTGGTGTCCAGCATGGTTAGGTGGGCGTGGAGGATAGCGAGGGAGTGAGGAGTGGGCGAGTGAAGGAGTGAGGGAATGAGGGGAGATACCAGGAGAATGAAGGAGAAGAAGAGCAGCTGCGGGTCGGCTGCAGCACAGGCCACAATCTCCCCTACAGCGCCCATAACAGCCTCCTTGCGCCGCACATCATCATCGCCACTCTGCAGCCGCCCCTTGAACTTCTTCAGCAGCCTCAACGCTGCATCCTGCCGCTCCTCCTTGCTCCAATCCCCCTCCACCCGCTCCGCCCCTCCTCCCTCCCCTCCCCCTTTGTTCCCTGCCGCCGCACTGACATTTCCAGCCAATGGCATCACAACAGCTGGCAGGAAGAAGCAGCGGATGGCGGGGCGGAAGGCCCAGCGCACGGAGCAGTGGGGGTGGGAGGAGAGGGCGTTGAGGGACGCGAGGAGGGTGGGCTTGAGGGCCAGCAGGTGGGCAGTGGAGGCGTGCAGCAGCAGCGAGGGCAGGGAGACGGCAAAGGCGGCTTTCACAGAGGAGGGGCTGTCGTTGCGAGCGAAGCACGGTATGATGGCTGAGAGGTCACGCGGAGGGATGGAAAGGCCACTTTGGGCAGCGGTGCAAGGGGGCATGCTTGCCTCATGCGCCTCCTGCTGTGCTGCTGGGTTCATGGTGTTGTGGGGTGCAGGGCTGGATGGCAGAGGGCTGCCAGCATTGGTGGGGGTCATGTGTGTGTGGGGGTGGAGGAAGTGAGAGCAAACAGTGCACAAGGGGAGGGGTGTATGGGCGGAGGCAGGGGTGCGATGATGGGGCAGTGGCGGCAGGGGGGAGAGAGAGAGCGCGCAGAGGAGAGGTCCCAGGGCATGCGCACATGCGACCTGCACCTCCTCGCTGCTGTCTGCTGCTAGATTCCTGCAAGACAGAGGGGTCACACACACACATGGACAGGCACACGCACAGGCACACGCACAGGCACACGCACAGGCACACGCACAGGCACACGCACAGGAAACACATTAGCTGTGAGATGCTGCAGCATAGTTGCTTGTTGAGAAGGAACCAAGGAGCAGAATGCACGAGGCGGAGAGGGCGTGCAGAAGGCCTCACCTTAGCAGTGGCACCACCCACTCCTGCCCCCACCCCCCACACGCACTCGCAGCGCCGGCCTCAGCCTTTCCCCCAACGTGCCTCCCTGTTTCTGCAGCAGTGGTGTGCGGCCTAACCGAGGCATGGTGTGACAGCCCCTTGACCGCCCACAGCAGCAAGGCCAGCAGCTCCACCGCTGCTCTGCGCACGCCCGCATGCTCATCCTGCATCGCCCCCTGCAGCATCTTGCTCACAGTGCCGACCACATCTGTCGCCCATGCGCCTACCACCACATCCTCGGCTGCCTGCCCTTGCTTCACTGCACTGCGCCCTGACTGCTCTCCCTCGTCTCCCTTCTCACTCTTCTCCTCCCCCTCGGCTCCACGCGTCACCTGGCTCTGAAGCCTTTCTACCAGCCATGACAGCACTGCCTCTGATACTCTGAGCGCATTCAGTTTGCTGAGCTCCAGTGCCCCCACAGGTGCCTGCACGCCTTGCACGCTGTTGTTGTGAGCGCTGTGTTGGTTTCCAAGGGACCACGGCAGAAGAGCGACCTCACAAAGGCTCGTGATGAACCTGCCCGCCCCGCTGCCACTTCCCCCCTGATCACCACAACAGGCATGTGTGAGCAGCAAGCGGGCAGACGGCAGGAGAGCACGGACTCTGAGAGGACCAACAGCAGCAGCTTGACCTTCAAGGGCACAGGAGATGTGGCAAGGGATGGCGAGGATGCGAGCAGCGCTGTCAACCAACAGCTGCGCCACATGCCACCACCTCATCTCACCCCCTGCCTGCCCTGCACTGCAAGCAGCAGGTGGTGCTGCGGTGATGAGAAGAGACGCCCATGCCATCCACGCGCTCAGTGCATTGGCCGTGGTCCACCAGCACATGGTGCCTGGCAGGCGCTGCACCGCACAGCACACAACACCTACACCCCTCAGCCTCGCCTCCACATCTGCCCACGCATCTGCTGACATGTCTGCTAACGCCGAGCCCTCCATGTGCACGCTCTGCGGGTTGTTTCCCTTGGCCCCACCAGCAGCTGCACTGCATGGATACGGCCTATCAAGGAGCTCCAGTGCGGATTCTGGCGGCCATGCCTCTCGAATTCTCTCCACCACCGCCACCAGCAGGTGCCTCTCGCCCCAGCCACACGCCGCAGGAGCGCTCAGCTGCTGCACCTGCCATGTCATCTCCTCCTCGTGCACCAACAACCCATGGAACGACACGCCACGTCTCTCACTGCCTCCCAGCCCACCACTCGCCTCTGCCGCCCTTGCTGCTGCTGCTTGCTCCACATGCCCTGCCACTCCCCCATCTGCCGTTGCTGGGTTCACCCCTTCATCCCCTGCGATTTCCTCTGCCTCCTCTGCCAACCCACCCACTGACGTCCCTCCGCCACCTGACCCCCGCCGCCTGCTCACTGCACTCTTCCCAGAGCGCCTCTTCTTGGCGCTCCCCCTCGCTTGCTTCCCCCCTGCCTCCTGCCCCTTCCCGTCCTCCCCACCCGCTTCCTCCTCCGCCCCTCTCCTCCCCATCGCACTGCTCGCACCTCGCTTCCTCTTCCCCTTTACCGCGCTCTCACCCGCGCCCCTCTCCTCATCGCCCACTACCCCTCTGCCTTCAGTCCCTCGGGACTGCTCCCCAATCGGAGCATCCTCTGTGGCAGGGCGAGGCCCACGCAACGTGGCCTTGTGCTGGAACACGGGATGACGGCGCAGCAGCAGAGAGAGGCATGCAGCGAGGGGCGTGGTGACTGGAGGGGGAGAGGCGAGGAGAGGGAGCAGGCTCAGCAGGAGGCGCTGGGAGTGGGGCGAGGAGGAGTCAGCCGGTGCAGTTAGTGCGGAGGAGCAGGGGGGAGGTGAGGGCGGGAGGAGAGGAATGGTGCGGCGCAGGCAGGTCAAAAGAGCGACCTGACAGTTCAATCGGTGACACGGGAGGGGAGGGTGGGTAGCGAGTGGGGGGAAGAGAGGGAGGGATGTGAGAGGGATTCCATTGGGTGTGAGGAAAGCAGCAAAAGAAAATCACTTGGACTTGTGGAACCTCGAAACTACTTCACTGAGGCAACCTGCATGCGAACCGGGTGAAAGGTGACGGGCTGTACGTGGTGTGAGAGGTAAGGGCACACCTGGAGGTGCAGGCAGGAGGTGTGCAGCAGGGCGTGTGGGAAGAGCGAGAGCAGCAGTGATGCACACACGCGCAGGGTGCCGTGCGTGGCAGCAGAGGCGAGTGCGTGCAGGCACTCCGCCAGGCTCTGGTCGTAGCAGCCCGTCCTGATTGATGGGGATAAATAAATGGGATGGGAGATAGCGGTGCAGGGGGGTTCATGCACACACGCTCGCATGGGCATGCGCTGACAGGAAGGACGGGGGGCTAGGCCCGGCATTTGGTAACATCAGAAAGTGGCAGCTTTGAATAAACGAGGGTGTGGGAGCACAGACCTGAAGGCGGGGAGGCGAGGGTGCGAGGAGGAGGTGGCGAGGATGGTGAGGAGGGAGAGCAGCAGCTCGTCCGCGCACAGGGGAGGCGCGCCAGTGGTGCTGATGAGGTCCCGCAGGGCGGAGAAGCACACCTGGCGGAGTTGGCATGGGAGAACGGGCAGGTTGTGGTGAATGGTTGGTTGGACACAGTCACACAGAGGCTTTCACGGCTTACGTGTGTGGGTCTAGCACATGCAGGCATATTATGACGGTAGGAATCACATGGTCACAGGCAGCGGATTGAACAGCCCAAAGGACGTCATGATTGATAACACGTTGCACAGCCCAGCCCACCTTGTGTAGTTGCGCGCTTCCAAAGCACAGGAAAGCACCCAGTGCGGAATAACAGTCTGCCGTAACAACCAGCCTCACAAGCTGCTTGCTGCTCCCAATGCTGCCAGTGCTGCTGCTGCTGGTGCTGCTGCTGCTGGTGTTGTTTCTCGTGGTGTCCCCAGCACCTTGGTCGCGGGCAAGGCGTGAGAGGAAAAGCGCACCGAACTCAGCAGCAGCCTGCCAGCGGTCCTCCGCAGCCACGTGAAGCAGCACCCCACGACCCTGCTCGTCCCCTGGTTCCCACTCGGGGGGCAGATCTGACAGCAAAGAGGCGCTGGGTGCGTGCTGCTGCTGCTGCTGCTGGTTGCGGAGAGCGTGAGGCAAGGATGCAGCATAGTGGAACGACACACGGAGTGCGTGCAGTGGTGCAGGGGGTAGCGACCCTCGTTCCTTGCTGGGGCTGCCATGCGCCTGCTTGTTCCCCAGCTGCATCGCCACTGCAGCTGTGTCTGCACAGTCGGAGTGACAGAAAGCGACAGCACAGGTTCGACAGACGAGCATACAATCAAGAGCTTAACGCAACAAGAAGAACATCAAGAATCGCCTCACAGGAATGAAGACCTTGTACGGGTTAGCCAGACGGGCATTGGTGGCCTCACAATATCACTCGCGCAGCATCGTCACACTGGCACGTGGTGGTGTACCTTGAATGAGCGTGCGCACGTCAGAGACAAGGTGTGCGAAGGCCGTTTCATCAGTAGAGCGCATGAGTGCTGCCAACGACCACACCACGTCCACAATGCACGCCACACGTGACCTGGGGCACGCACCACACACACGCGTCATTGCATCCAGCCTCACAACAAGCCTCGCACCCTCGTTCTTAAAAAAGATAAGGTTCACAAATCTCTGGATTAGGAACGACTGGAAGGACTGTATTGCCTGAGCATGCACCGTGAGGCAGGCTCGATTCGTTCCACGACAGCACAGCGGCTCACCTGAGCGGTGCCTCGCCCAGCAGCACCAGCGCGCGTGCGATGAAGGGGAGCGTGGTGGGCGCATGGCCGTGGAGGAAGGTGCCGGGATAGTTCCTCGCGATGTGCATGAGCAGCTTCAGAATGGCCAGCACCTCGCGATCTCGCACTGCCACTCGCAGGGGACGGGAGGGCAGGGAAAGGAGGGCAGGGAGGGCAGGGAGGGCAGGAAGGGAAGAGAGGAAGGGAGGGAAGGAAAGTAAGGAAACCGACGCCGGGGCCGTTAGCGAGGCGGACGGCAATAACGAGGATCCCAGTTCATAAGAAAGAGCGGGGCGTAGTGACGGCGGCGGACGGCGAGATTACCGAGGCGCGGCACCAAGTGCTTGTGCACGAGCGTAGGCAGCACCTCGCGGAACCTTCGCTCCACCACCGCCGCCTCCTCGCCGTCGCCCGCCTGCGTGGCGCCTGCCGTGGCCGCCGTGGCGGTGACCGCCGTAGCCGTGGTGGCGGCGGACGGCGCGACGCGGTTGCCCAGCTCCTGCAGCAACGCGAACACGTGCGAGCTGGTCGTCGCCTGCGTGTTCGCCATGGTCGCACGCGACCAGCTGCGACGCTGCGAGAGATTCGCGGTCAGAGCACTGAGATCGGTGTGCGAGAAGGACGAGGGTGGATGGAGGGATCAGTGAGGAGTACTATTCGTCGCAAGACAAGCATCAACGCTCTGGATTGACTCTAGAGGTGCAGAGCTGAGAAGCATGATCAATCCACGCAACCGTGGATCTGGATGGCTGTCGCGGAAAGGCTGTGGGATGAGACCCATTGCTTCATTGCTTCCTTGCTTGCAGTGGAAGCCTGAGCCGAGCTGTGAACGGTGCCCGTAGCGACCGCACGCGTGCCAAAACCGAGGCCTTGGGGAAAGCGTCACCTTGAGGCTGCCGTGTATGAAGGGAGTTTGGCGGGAAAACTTTCCTCGAAATAAGCTGTTTCGGTCAACATATCCGTAATGTACCAGCATAATAAAACTGTATGATTAGTCAAGTGAATCCAAGGTACCACTTGGAAGGGGTCAGTTAAAAACCGCACCTTAGGGTGATCAAAACCTCGCGAGACATTTCCTGCACCAAATTGTGTAAAACAAAGAGTTGACAATAGGCGGGCAGTTGAAATTGGCGCACGCAAAGTGTACGAAATATTGCGTTCGAACGAGTGCGCAAGTGAGATCGAAAAGTTGTGGTGTTGTAGTAGTAATGCAGTGAGTGGAAGCTCGCCAAGTTGCCATATGCAAGGTGGCGCCAGGTCGAACCACTTGCATTTGCATTGCATCATTCCTTGTCGCTATTTGAAGCTCACCAAGCTGATGCCGGTACGAGAAATAAAAGAAAAATAAGAAAGAAAAATCATTTAACGCGAATCTGATTTCACTTCACCAACACTGAATGCACAGAGTTCCGTTTTGTTGATATGACCGAGAATCGTAATGGATATGAGTTCTAGAAAGACAATCAAGTATTGTGGCGACCTCGTTAAGAACCATATTGCGCCGTCCGCGAGGGTTCCGGAAGAACCATTTTCCGCTGAGTATCTTTCTCCCCTTTGCAAATGATCGGGGAACGAGCTTCCAAGTCCCGTGGCGCTTTAGTGCTGCTAATTCTGCTGCCATGGATGCCTTCCATGTCTCTATATCGGGTCCAAACAGGGCTTAGGGAACGGTGGTAGGTTCCTTGGGAGAGCCGTGTCGAACTGCGACTGCGGGCCCAATGATGCGGAGTCTGTCAGAATCTAGGAACGAATGATGACTAGAAACAAAGCAGGACAAGGTTTGTATATGGCAAAACCTAATTGGGCTGTATCCTATAAGGAGTGCCCCACTACAGCCTAGAGCATAGTTCAGACACACCCCCATAGGCAAAGTGGGGGACAAGCAAGAGAACTAAGCAAGGTCAAGCCCAGGGTGGATCACAACGTCACCACGCATTCTGAGCACAAGCAAATGGCCACAAGGCCAGTTTACATGCAGAGTTATGTATATAAAAGAGAACAAGCAGGACACTGATCACAACCTAACAAGTGTAAGCATGCAGGTATAAATATATAGATCACAGTACAAGCAAAGTTAAGAAGTGAGCAAGTGAGGCCAAGTAGGCACAAGGCCTAGAACAGTACAGAACCGCTGATAATCACAAGGCTGAAGTGCCTTGGTGAAGATATCAGCGGTGTTGACCTGAGAGGCCACGTAAACAAGACGAAGCTGACCACACTGCTACAACTCTCAAGGAAGGAAGTAAGCAAAGCGATGTGCTTCGTTTTATAATCCAGCCTGTGGTCCTGACACAAGGCAATCATGGCCTTGTTGTCGACGTACAGAACCGGAGGAGAACGAGGCGCCTCTCCCAAGTTGGTCAGCAGGTAGGTGAGCCAGCGTAGCTCCTGTGCAGCCATGGCCCCTGCGTAGATCTCAGCCTCACAGCAGGAGCTGAGAACAGAAGACGAGTGGGTAGACCGCCACGAAACAGAACCGGAGCCTAGGCTGAAGGTGTAACCGTGTGACGACCGCTGCGTAGCCAAGTCGTCAACCCAAGAAGCGTCTGCGTGACCAGTGAGGACAACTGGACCCCGTCCTCCAAGCACGAGCCCCATGTCCGACGTAATGCACAAGTAGCGCATCACCCTCTTAGCGGCCTTCCAGTGCTCTGGTCGGTGTCTCCCAGGCGCAACATAGCGTGCTAGGATGCTAAGAGGGTAAGCAAGGTCAGGTTGAGTGCAGCTCATCAGGTACATGAGGCAGCCCACAAGCTCTGGATACAGGCCACTCGGCTCTACGGACTCATCCAAAGGCAGAGCTGAGAGCGAGTGACCGGTAGGCAGAGGAGTGGACTGTGGCGAGGAGTACTGGAAGGCGAAGCGCTGAAGGACCTGCTGCACCATGTGTGACTGAGTCAGGGTGATGATGTGGCGTGCTCTGTCTCGTGTGATCTGCAAGCCAAGATAGAGCACCCGGGATAGACTCTGACTCAGCAACAAGACTAGCGGCGTAGTCGAGACGACAGCGAGCAGCAAAGTCGACAAGCTCAGCAACTAAGGCAAACGCAGCAGTGGACTCAAAGGAAGGGTCTGTGACAACAGTAGCTAGCAGACGCGTGACAGTAGGGCTGGAAGCACGAAGTGAGTCAGACTCAGCAACCCCAGGACGAAGTGCCATCTGGTTCGTGCCAGGGACAGGAGGGAGACGCGGACGAGGAACACGACGACTAGTGCGAGCAGCGCGAACTGGCGACGCAGGGCGAGACGCAGGCTCACGACGCTCAGCAAGACCTTCGGTCGGTCCAGTGTAAGGAGAAGGACTAGGCAGCGAGGAGTCTGGCGGTAACAGCGATTGCGACTGGTCAGGCGGCGGACACAGTAAGGGAGGAGTAGGACTAGTAGAGAGCAGGAGGCCAAGAACCTGCTGAAGGAGTGGAACGAAGTACGGCCGCGGCCGCGCAGCGCCTCCAGAACCAGCAGAGGTAGCACCAGGACACCTAGTTCTAGAGTCTCCATCTCCAACGCCTGCACCACCACTAGCTCCAGCACCAGCAGAACCACCAGCACGAACAGCTCCAGTGCCTCTAGCTCCAACTCCTGCAGCACCACTAGCTCGAGCACCATCAGCACCAGTAGCAGGAACAGCTCCAGCGCCTCTAGCTCCAACTCTCGTAGAACCACTAGCTCCAGTACCAGCAGCACCTTCAGCAGGAACAGCTCCAGCGCCTCCAGCTCCAACTCCTGCAGCACCACTAGCTCCAACACCAACAGTACCTCTAGCAGGAACAGCTTAAGCGCCTCCAACTCCAACTCCTGCAGCACCGCCAGCCCCAGCACCTCCAGTACCTCCAGTGTGAGCAGCTCCGGGACCAGCGGCTCCAGTACCTCCAGCAGCTCCAGTAGCAGCAGTACCTCCAGCTCCAGCAACACTGCTCCAGCGCTGATCAAACCACTCGCGAAGCTGCGGTGGAGAGAGCGGCTCCCGCCGGGACAAGACACCTGTAGGACCTCCAGAGGACAAAGTACCTCCAGGCTCAGCACGCTCAGGCTCCACACTCTTAGACTCAGCAACCCCAGGCGCAGCACCCCCAGGCTCCACACTCTCAGGCTCAACATCCCCAGGCTGCGCACCCTGTGAGACTCAGCGACCCCAAGCTCAGCACCCCCAGGCTCCGCACGTTCAGGCTCAGCACCCCCAGGCCCCGCACCCGCAGGCTCAGCACCCCTAGAAGTACCAGAGTTGATAGTTACCTCGACATGCTCGACAGGGTCTACCTGGGACACACCTGAGGGGACAGGATCCTGAGGGGGTTTACCCGAGGAGGACCTGGTGCTAGGAAGAGCGGCGGGGGGGGGGGGGGGGGGAGAGGGGCAATGCGATAGGGGAAGAGACAGAAAAAGGGAACCGACTCGTCAAACGTGATGTCCCGAGAGGACAGAAAACTGCCAGCCAGGCGCGTCAGGGGGGAAGCCAAGGAAGACGCAGGGAACAGCACGGGAGGACAGCTTGTCCGCGGAAGAATCGTAGACAAAAGCTCGAGATCCCCAGACACGGAACACAGATGCATCGCCAACCTTCCCCGTCCACCGCAGAGCAGGTGTGGTCTCCGGAACGGAGACACGGGGTTGGAGGTTGAGCTGATGCGCAGCGTACTGAACCGCGAACGGTGATAGAAAATGGGGAGCAGCCTCATGGATCATGGACGTACGAGCGGCGTCCATGACCATGCCAATGCGGCGCTCAGCAATCCCATTCTGCTGTGGGGAAGCCGGAAGCGTGAACGTCTGGCGGATGCCCTCCGCATGAAAGAAGGCCTGCAAAAGGTCGGAGGAAAACTCTCCATCTCTGTCAGAGTGCGAACGAAGAACAGGAAGGTCCGAGCCGAAACTCTTGCTGAGCTGGCGACGGGCAGTGCGGATCCAGCCGATCAGCACCTGAGTGACCTCACCCTTGCGGCGCGAGGGGAAGACTGTGGTGTAACGCGAGTAGTCGTCAACGACCAGCAGAAAGTAACACTCGTGACCATGTCCACGGACGCAGGCTGTGCCCCCCACGTCCATGTGGAGAGTCTGCAGCGGAGCCTCAGTCGGAGGGAACTCGGAGGAGTGAGGGGTGGCGCGCTGCCGTCCCTCGACGCAAGGAACGCAGGTAGGGGCAGGCCCTGCGCGGAGGGGAGGGAGAGACCGGGTAAGACCAGTGACAAGGACACGGGAGGCCATGCCTCGAAGACGAGGCAGGGAGGGGTGACCAAGGCGGTGGTGCCAGAGGAGATTCTGGTGTGATAGGAGACGACACGAGCAGGAGGCAGACTTCGGACCAGGCCTGGACGCGGCAGCAAACACGTGACCAGACGCAGTAACTGGAGTGGAAACAGTAGTCAGGGTGTACAGGCTTGACCCAGGCTGACGGGTAAACGTGGCGAGGTGGCGGCCTTTCCGAGTACACGTACAGTGGGTCACCCGCTGACCACCAGGAGTGAGCTGGTCAACCCACACGTCCTGGAGGTCAGCTCCACTCACCAAGTTCGTAGAGAACGAGGGGAGGTGCAGACCCGACAGTGAGCCAGACGGGACCGCCGGACACGGCAGAACCGTAGAGCAGTGTGCAAGGACTGGACCCCCAGAGGGGCGTGAGATAGCAACCGGCCGACTGAGCGGCGTCAGTGTGGTGCAGTCGCGAAAGAAAGAGCGGGAAGCTCCTGAGTCAAGAGTGAAAGTGTGAAAGCCCTCAGCAGGCGCAGTACCTGAGAGAGCAGACTCACCAGCACCTGGGGCAGCAGGCTCACCAGCACCTGGAGTAGCAGACTCACTGGCACCTAGAGCAGCAGACTCTATACATGGGTCAGGCGGCATACAAAGGTAACAATCACCCTCAGTACTAACAGTCACAGCATACATGGCAGCAAGGATAGCATCATAATCAAGATCAAAGATAGCAACACCATACCTTACCAGATCAGCCTAGCGAGGGAGCTAAGTAGCGTCAGGAAACTGTGCGCGCCAGGCGTCAGTCAGGTGACCGAAACAGCGCCGCGTAGCGTGCAGCAGCCCGCACGTCTCCCCACGGCGCTCGCTGGTGCGGAGAACGTAAGCGCAGGGACCAGCACCCCCAGACCTCCCACGCCCAGCGTACCACTCACGAAGCTGCTGGGGTGATGGGGCCTCACGGGAACGCGATTGCTGCTCGCGCTGGCCACCGCCAAATCCTGCATGTTGCACAGCTCCACCCCGACCAGCACCACCGCTGCCGCCACCCCCACTGCCGCTGCCGCCGCAACCTCCACCTCCACCGCCACCACCGACGCCCCCACTCCCGCCTCCACCCCCAACTCCACTCCCACCCCCTCCACCTCCTCCACCACCGCCGCTCCCGCCGTCCCCTCCACCACCCTTGCCCCCCTTTCCCTTGCCGCTGCGGTGCCTACCACTAGGAGCTGACGCAGCCCGGACCGCCTCGGTGCCAACGAGGTCGACAGCAGCAGAAGAAGCAATAGAGGGCAAAAGGGGGACGGGGGAGCACCCCTCAAAGAAAGGGGCGTGAGGGTCGCCGCGAGAAGCTCCTACAACAACTATGCTAGCCTCAGCTGCAAGGAGGCGCTCCTCGAGCAGGTCGACGGTGAGCTCAGTGGGGCAAAGGGAGAGAAAGTGGTCCCTGACTGAGCGGAGAGAGTCAGGGAGGCAGTTGACGAGGTAGAAGAGGGTGATGTACATGGGGGGGGGGGGGCTCTTGGCGCAGAATTCGGAGGGAAGCGCAGCGCGGTAGCGGGTGTCACTAGTGCGGAGGTGAGTGATGAGGTCAGCGACTGTGGCAAATGTGGCTAGGTCAGGGAACAAGTACGGTAGCATGAGGCGGTTGAGGGCAGCAGTGGCAGGGGAGGAGTAGCGTGCGAGAACAGCATTGTACACAGACTTAGTAGTCTTGTACTGGCCAAAGTGCGCGCGCTCAGCGCACGGCAGGTGATTACGAACAGCAAGGCGGGCAACAGCGTCACGAGTAGAAACCGCGCACGACAAAAATAGAAACCGCGCGCGAGACACAAACGACCGCGTAACACGCGTCTAGCGATAACTCGCTATTGACTCGACACACACACTCGACATCATGACTCAACATTCACACAAAATTCAAAGCATGAAATATATATTATCCCATGCCCTCATACCATTCCATACACACACACATGCACGCACACGGACAACAAGCCGAGTGCAAACCGTAGGGTTGCACCAACATCAGCGGCCCCGTCAGTGCCCTTTCAGCGGCCCCGTCGCCGCCCTTTCAGCGGCCCCGTCGCCGCCCTTTTGAGCGGCCCCGTCGCCGCCCTCTCAGCGGCCCCGTCGCCGCCCTTTCAGCGGCCCCGTCGCCGCCTCTTAGCGGCTTCGTCGCCGCCCTTTAGCGGCCCCGTCGCCGCCCTTTCAGCGGCCCCGTCGCCGCCTCTTAGCGGCTTCGTCGCCGCCCTTCAGCGGCCCTGTCGCCGCCCTTCAGCGGCCCCGTTGCCGCCCCTTTCCGTGGCCCCGTCGCCGCCCCTTTCCGCGGTCTCGTCGCCGCCCTTCAACGGCCCCGTCGCCGCTCCTTCGCGGCAGCGACGGCGCCCTTCACGGCCCCGCCGAGCCGCCTTCGCTGCCGAGCCGCTGAGCCGTCGAGCCGCCTTTGCCGCCGAGCCGCTGAGCCACCTTTGCCGCCGAGCCGCCGGGCCGCCGCAGCCGAGACGCCGCCGTCACTGCAGTAGCGGCCCTATCCCTGCCAGCCTGCCCTAGACCGCCTCAATTGCCTGGTAAGCGCAACGCCTCTGCCACTGCACAGCCCTACCCCGCTGTGCTCATTGCCTGTCTACTGCTGTCATGGCCACCCCCAGTGTTCTCACCTTTGACGGTGAGGGTCGGGCTGTTGACTTTGAGGTCTGGGTAGATGATCTGCAGCTTTTTCTACAGTGCGATAGGGCAGACGGTCTCTCCCTCTTTGACCTCACTTCTGGTGCCTCTCCTGCCCCTACTGCTGATGCTGACGCCACTGTTCGCTCACAGTGGGCCACGCGCGATGGTGCTGCCCGCCTTGCTGTGCGCCGCCACTTACCGACCGTTGAGCGCGCGCATTTTAGTCAGTACAAGAGTGCTAAGACCTTGTACGACGCTATAGTTGCACGCTACTCTTCCCCTGCCACTGCTGCTCTTAGCCGCCTCATACTGCCGTTCCTCTTCCCTGACCTCCCTGCTTTTCCCACAGTCGCTGACCTCGTTACACACCTTCGCACTAGTGACATTCACTACCGCGCTGCGCTTCCTGCTGAGTTGTGCGCCAAGAACCCCCCCCCCCTATGTACATCAACTCCTACTACATAGTCACCCGGCTCCCTGACACCCTTCGCTCGGTCAGGGACCACTTCCTCTCTGTTTGCCCCACCACTCTCACCGTTGACCTCCTCGAGGAGCGCCTCCTAGCAGCAAAGAAAAGTATAGTCGCTGTAGGAGCCTCTCGTGGTGACCCTCGTACCCCTGTCTTTGAGGGGTGCTCCCCCTCCCCCCTCTTGCCCTCTGTTGCCTCTGCTGCTGCGGCCGACCTCGTTGGTCTTGAGTCGGTCGGCACGGCGTCTGCCCCTAGCGGGAGACACCGCTCAGGCAAGGGCAAGGGGGGCAAGGGCGCTGGAGGAGCTGGCGGGGGCGGTGGAGGCGGCGGTGGAGGCGGCGCAGGGGGTGGGGGTGGCGGTGGGAGTGGTGCCGGGGGTGGGGGCGCTAGTGGCAGCAGTGGAGGCGGAGGAGGCGGCGGTGGTGGCGGTGCGGGCGGAGGTGGCGGAGGTGGAGGCAGTGGTGGAGGTAGCGGCGGTGGAGGTGGAGCTGGTCGGGGCGGCGCTACGCAGAGGGTCGGCTCCGGTGGTGGTCAGCGCCAGCAGCAGCAGCAGCAGCAGCGCACTCGTGAGACCCCTTCCCCCCAGCAGCTTCGTGAGTGGTACACTACTCGTCAGCGAGGTGGGGGTGCTGGCCCCTGTACCTACGTTCTACGTACCGGCGAACGCGCGAATAAGCAGTGTGGGGTTCCGCACTCCACCCAGCGCTGCTTCGGCCGCCTGACGGACGCTTGGCGTCATCAGTTCCGATCTTTGATCTTGACTATGATGCTATTCTTGCTGCCATGTATGCTGTGAGTATTAGTGATGAGGGTGACTGTTACCGGTGTTTTCCGCCTGACCCGGGCATTGAGGCTGCTGCTCTAGGTGCCACTGAGCCTGCTGCCCCAGGTGCTGGTGAGTCTGCGCTCTCAGGTACCGCGTCGTCTCCGGCCACCCACACCTTCACCCTTGACTCGGGTGCTTCCCGCTCCTTTTTTCGAGACCGCACCACGCTTACGCCGCTTAGTCGGCCAGTGGCAGTCTCCCTGGCAGACCCCTCTGGGGGTCCTGTCCTTGCCCACTTCTCCACTGTTCTACCGTGTCCGGCGGCCCCTTTTGGCACCCTGTCGGGTCTTTACCTCCCCTCGTTCTCAACGAACTTGGTGAGTGGTGCTGACCTCCAGGATGGAGGGGTTCACCAGTTCACTCCTGCGAGTCAGCGAGTGACCCACTGTACCTATGCTCAGACGGGCCGTCACTTTGCCACGTTTACCCGTCAGCCGGGGTCGAGCCTGTACGCACTGACTACTGAGTCTCCTCCGGTCGCTGAGTCTGCTCAGGTAGCCCCGTCGGGTCAGGTGTTTGCTGCGGCGTCCAGGTCTGGTCCTGAGTCTTCCCCCTGCTCGTGTCGTCTCCTGTCTCACCAGACTCTCCTCTGGCACCACCGCCTTGGTCACCCCTCCCTGCCTCGTCTTCGAGGCATGGCCTCCCGTGTCCTTGTCTCTGGTCTCCCCCGGTCCCTCCCTCCCCTTCCTCCGGGGCCTGCCCCCACCTGCGTTCCCTGCATCGAGGGGCGGCAGCGCGCTGCTCCTCACTCCTTCGAGTTTCCTCCGACAGAGGCTCCGCTGCAGACGCTTCACATGGACGTGTGGGGCCCAGCCCGCGTCCAGGGACAGGGTCACGAGCGTTACTTCCTGCTGGTGGTTGATGACTACTCGCGTTACACCGCAGTCTTCCCCTTGCGCAGCAAGGGTGAGGTCACTGAGGTGTTGATCGCATGGATCCGCGCAGCTCGTCTCCAGCTCAGAGAGAGTTTCGGCTCGGACTTTCCTGTTTTGCGTCTGAACTCTGACAGAGGCGGAGAGTTCTCCTCTGACCTTCTGCGAGCCTTCTGTCGTGCACGAGGCATCCGCCAGACCTTCAAGCTTCCGGACTCTCCGCAGCAAAATGGGATTGCTGAGCGCCGCATTGGCATGGTCATGGACGTCGCTCGTACGTCCATGGTCCATGCGGCTGCCCCCCATTTTCTGTGGCCGTTTGCGGTTCGGTACGCGGCGCATCAGATCAACCTTCAGCCCCGGGTCTCCATGCCGGAGACCTCCCCTGCTTTGCTGTGGACGGGGAAGGTTGGCGATGCGTCTGCGTTCCATGTCTGGGGATCTCGGGCGTTTGTCCGCGACTTGTCTGCGGACAAGCTGTCCCCTCGTGCTGTTCCCTACGTCTTCCTTGGCTTCCCCCCTAACGCGCCGGGCTGGCAGTTCTACCACCCCACTTCGCGCCGTGTTCAGTCCTCGTAGGACGTCACCTTTGACGAGTCGGTTCCCTACTACCATCTCTTCCCCTACCGCACTGCGTCCCTCCCCCCCTCTCCGCTCTTCCTTACACCAGGTCCCCCTTCGGTACACCCCCTCCCCCCTCAGGGTCCTGCCCCCTCAGGTGTGTCTCAGGTAGACGCAGTCAACCCAGTCGAGGTAGCTGTTGACTCTGGTGCAGCTAGGGGTGCTGAGCCTGCGGGTACTGGGTCTGGGGGTGCTGACTCAAGGGGTGCTGAGCCTGGGGGTGCTGACTCTGAGGGTGCTGCGCCTAGGGGTGCTAAGCTTGGGGGTGCTGCGTCAAGGGGTGCTGAGCCTGGGGGTGCTGCGTCTGGGGGTGCGGAGTCTGAGGGTACTGGACCTGCTCGTGTGGCGTCTGGCGGTGCTGGGCCTGGAGGTTCTTCGGGTGCTTCGTCCCGGCGGGAGCTACTCTCTCCACATGAGCCGCGTGAGTGGTTTGGCCGGCGCTGGAGGCGAGCTGCGGGTGCTGGAGGTTCTGCTGCTGCTGCTGAGGGTGCTGGTGCCGCGGGTCCCGGAGGTGCTCGTACTGGGAGTACAAGAGCTGCTGGGCCTGCGGGTACTCGAGCTGGTGGTGCTGCGGGCGTCGCTGCTACTGAGGGTGCTGGATCTGGACCCACTACGTCTTCTGGTGGTCCGGCTGGAGCTGGAGCTACTGGGGGTGTTGGCGCTGAGGGTGCCTCTGGTGCTGGTGCCTCTGAGGGTACTGGAGTTGGCGCTGCTGGAGCTGGGGGTGCTGCTGGCGCTGGTGCTGACGTTGGGGGTGCTGGTGCTGTCCCTTCTGGTGCTGGTGGTGCTGAGCGGCCGCAGCCGTACTTCGTTCCGCTCCTTGAGCAGGTTCTTGGTCTTCCGCCCTCTGCTAGTCCGGCTCCTCCCTTAGAGTGTCCACCGCCTGTCCCGTCCGAGTCACAGTTACAGCCTACCTCTCCTCTGCCTGCTCCTTCTCCCTACACTGGTCCTAGTGGAGGTCTTGCTGAGCGTCGTGAGCCTACGTCTTGACCTGCGTCGCCTGTCCGTGCTGCTCGCACTAGTAGTCGTGGTTCGCGTCAGCGTCCTCCCCCTGTCCCCGGCACGCACCGGATGTCTCTGCGTCCCTCCACTACTCCGCTGTGTGCCCCTTTGCGCTCCTCTTGAGTCCTCTCTTCCTGTTCTTCCCGACCAGGAGTCGCACTCCCTTCGTGCTGCCAGTCCTACTGTCATGCGTCTCCTTCCTACTGTCCTCACTCACCCTTCCTTTGAGTCCGCTGCTGCGTCTGCCTTAGTTTCTCAGCTTGTCGACTTCGCTGCTGACTGTCGCCTAGACTACGCTGCTAGTCTTGTTGCTGAGTCAGAGTCTGTCTGTCCTCCGTCCGTCGGGGGTGAGTGTGCCCTTGGCACGGACGTCCTTGAGGACAGGCAGGAGGAGTTCCAGTGCCCCTTCCTGCTGCTTCACCTCATCTCGTGTCAATGCTGCTTGCCCCTGAGGGAGACCCGGATGCACCAGACATCCCGACTCCGCGCTCTTACGCGGAGGCGATAGAGGGTCCCTACTCCTCTCAGTGGTAGGCAGCCATGGATGCAGAGATGGCTTCCTGGAAGTCCACAGGCACCTACGTCGACGAGGTTCCCCCTCCTGGGGCGAACATCGTCAGTGGCATGTGGATTTTCAGGGTGAAGCAGCCGCCGGGTTCTCCGCCTGTCTTCAAGGCGCGCTACGTGGCTCGTGGCTTCAGTCAGCGGCAAGGAGTTGACTACTTTCAGACCTTCTCTCCCACCCCAAAGATGACCACTCTTCGGGTACTGCTGCACATAGCCGCTCACCGTGACTACGAGCTTCACTCTCTTGACTTCAGCACTGCTTTCTTGCACGGCAGCCTGCACGAGGAGATCTGGCTGCGCCGCCCACCTGGCTTCACTGGGTCTTTTCCTCCTGGTACCCAGTGGAGCCTCCGGCGGCCAGTCTACGGTCTCCGCCAGGCACCGCGCGAGTGGCACGACACACTGAGGACTACGCTTGCGGCTCTTGGGTTTGCTTCCTCTACTGCTGACCCGTCGCTGTTTCTACGCACCGACACCTCTCTGCCGCCGTTCTACATCCTCGTGTACGTCGACGACTTGGTCTTTGCCACAGCTGACACAGCTGGACTCGCCCACGTGAAGTCTGAGCTGCAGAAGAGACACACGTGCACAGACGTGGGTGAACTGCGCAGCTACCTTGGCTTGCAGATCACCCGGGATAGAGCACAGCGCACCATTACCCATACTCAGTCACACATGGTGCAGCAGGTCCTTCAGCGCTTTGGCTTCACGTACTCCTCGCCTCAGGCCACTCCTCTGTCTACTCGCCACTCGCTCTCAGCTCTGCCTTCAGATGAGTCCGTAGAGTCGAGTGGCCCGTACCCAGAGCTTGTTGGCTGCCTCATGTACGTGATGACCTGCACACGACCTGACCTTGCATACCCTCTTAGCATTCTGGCACGCTATGTTGCTCCTGGGAGACACCGACCAGAGCACATGGCTGCAGCGAAGAGGGTGTTGCGCTACTTGTGCAGTACGTCGGGCATGGGGCTTGTGCTTAGAGGGCGGAGTCTAGTGGTCCTCACTGGTCACGTAGACGCTTTTTGGAATGACGACCAGGCTACGCAGCGGTCGTCACAGGGTTACACCTTCATCCTTGGCTCCGGCTCTGTTTCGTGGCGGTCTACCCGCTCGTCTTCTGTTCTCGGCTCCAGTTGTGAGGCTGAGATCTATGCCGGGGCCATGGCTGCACAGGAGCTATGCTGGCTCACCTACCTGCTGACTGACCTAGGAGAGCCGCCTTGTTCTCCTCCAGTTCTGTTCGTAGACAACAAGGCTATGCTGGCCTTGTGTCGGGAGCACAGACTGGAGCACAGAATGAAGCACATCACTATTCGCTACTTCCTTGCTCGTGAGCTGCAGCAGCGCGGTCAGCTGCGTCTTGCTTACGTGGCCTCTGAGGCCAACACTGCTGATATCTTCACCAAGGCACTTGCGCCTTGTGACCATTAGCGCTTCTGTACTCTGTTTGGTCTTGTACCTACCTTGCCTCACTTGCTCACTTCTTGACCTTGCTTGTACTGTTACATATATATATACCTGCTCTTGCTTGTTTAGCGTTATATATATGTGTGTACTCATGCATGTGAACTGGCCTTGTGGCCTTGAACTTGTGCTCGGAATGTGTGGTGACGTTGTGATCCACTCTGAGCTTGCTTTGCCTTGCTTTGTTTGATTGGTCTTGTGACCCCTTGTTCTCCCCCACTTTGCCTATGGGGGTGTGTCAAACTCCTATGATCTAGCCTGTGTAGGCTGTAGCGGGTTAGATACTAAGGGGTACACAATTCTAGGGTTTCACATTTGTATCACTTTCATTCCTTAGTCATTTATTCTCGTTCTAAGTTTCTCACATCGC